CATTTTTATTCTTGGCATAAACAATCTCTGTATTATAATCCCAACAATAACTAATATTTGAACCAGCCCACCCATAACAACATGTTCACTATTTCTCTGGAGCCAGGAATGGGATAGGCAATGAAATAAAAGAAAACAAATGGGATTGACACGTCCTCTATTTCTCTGGAAAACTGATGTATGAGAACAGCCAGTTTTCTTCTACTGAATGATTCTCTTGTGTATCAGGCCGATATATCACTGTCCTTCTTGCAACCTTTGTCGTGTTGGACATGGTCTTGGAATTGATTTTTATCATTGCATGAAATGCAATTGTTGTCTGGGAAAAGGTTTGGTAGATCACAAGTGTTTGGAGAAGGCGTTAGAAACAAATTGTCCCATTTGCTGTGAGTTTTTGTTTACTTCCAGTGCAACAGTTAGACCTCTGCCTTGTGGGCATTACATGCACTCGGCTTGCTTTCAGGTGAAACTTCAAATCATATTGTACAGTATGCATACTTTCTTTGACTTGTAAAGACTTTTGAGAACTAATTCACTTTATTCAAGTTTGCTTAAGTTTAATCATGCTCTCTCTGCCAGGAATATGCCTCCAGTAACTACATTTGTCCGATATGCAGCAAATCCATGGGTAATATGGCGGTAAGAGAATTTTCTAGTGATCTCCTTCTGTAATATTCTTTTTAGGTTGCACTCAGTGGCGGACCCAGGATTTTCTTTCAGGAGGTTCAAAATGTCTTTCGAAATGGGCCTTTTGAATTTTTTTGGGTTTAAAACCACACTTTTGGCACGTTTTTAAAATAAAAAATGCTTGAAAAACAGAACTGATTTTTTTAAACAAAAATAAATTGAAACTATAAAGGAAAATAAATAAATGTTGCAGGGATTCGAACCTAGGGCGTGCAGCTTAATATTTAGGGGTCTTACCATTGAGCCATCTATTTTTATTTGTTATTGAGGGTTCAAAATATATGCATCTACAGAAATATAAAAAATTTATCTATATATATCGTGTATTTTTTTGTCGAGGGTGTTCAGGTGAACACCCTGGACCCAATGTGGGTCCGCCCCTGGTTTTACTATGCAACTAAAATGTTTATCGTTGCTGCCTCCAAGCACGATCGCTGGCAATTGAGGAGTGCGTGCATGTTAAAGTTGTGAAGTTTTGTGTTCTTTGTTGTTGAGTATCAGGTAGTCTGAGGTTTTGTGATCACTTTTTGAAAGTATCACACAGCAGCTATGAAGAGTGTCCATTTTAAAAAAAAAATTCAATCATTTTCTTTTGATTTGTGAGTTGAGCCTCTCCTTGCTGCATCTTTTTTCTCCTTTCTCGTGTTCTTGATTTTCCTGGGAGGGGGGCAATCTTTGAGGGTTGGTTGGATGGGTTCTATTCGCTGAGCTGTTGTAATTCATAAAATTGTCCTTGAAGGTGTAATTAGTGTGAAGGACTTCTGAGAGAATTGGATATTTTAACAGTCATTGACATTTTGCCTGCCAGGTTTATTTTGGAATGCTAGATGCTCTGCTGGCTAATGAGGTTCTTCCAGAGGAGTACCGGAATCATTGGCAGGTTTGCCTTCTTAATTCACTTTTCCATTTCACATTTTCTTTCAAAGTTCTTGGACTTGCATTGACATATTTTGTAAGGTTGTCAATTTGTCAATGGGATGGAGAACATGTATAGTATGATTATTCGGTCATGTTGGTGGGATGAAAATACCTATATAGCATGATTATTTGGTTGTTTTCTTAAGTAATTTCTTTTGTTTACTCCATAAAACTTAAAAGAAGTCTAGAAGGAACAGAAGAGTGATTTATTTTGTGAGTTGTTGTTGCCACATGGTGACATTGTTGATACGTACTTATTGGGGGAAAAAGTTCTAGTCGATACTTAATTTTGATGATCGGTTTGGTAGTTGTTCTAACTTCTAATTTGGTGCTAGGTGATGATACTTGTGTGGTGAACCCATATTTTCCTTAAAAATCATCCATCTAATATGACATTTCATATACAGGATATTCTTTGCAATGATTGTGAACAGAAATGCCGGACACCCTTCCATTGGTTGTATCACAAGTGCGGGTTCTGCGGATCTTACAACACCAGAGTCATTACACTGCCTACAACAGCTTCTGACTGCCCTACCTGAAATGACCGAGGAGTTAGGATTCTCTACTCCGTTCGATGAAATTTTGAACCTGTAAAAAATGTACAGACGGCTAAGCTCCCCCTTAACCCCCCCTCTCTAGTGTCACTAGACTCTACACTATGCAAAGGAAAGTAAAAGTAGTTCTTCTAAAATGTACAGACGGCTAAGCTCCCCTCTAGTGTCAATAGACTCTGTACTATGTAAAAGTAGTTCTTCTAAACAAATATGTTCATTGCGCTAATTAAAAGCTAATATGGTGCAAGCTAATTTGGCTTTAGTATCAGCTTAATCTCTGAGGTGACAAGTTTTGACAGAAAATTCATAGGGATCTTAATGGAGCTTTAGAGTCTATAATACATAATGTTAAGCTTACAAAAAAACTTATGTTAACAACTGTATCGTGGCTTTGCTTCTGTGAGCTATCATAAGTCAAAATATTTTAGTAGCCTATAAGTTTATGGAAACCTTCGATGTTGTTACTAGTTAGTAGCATATAATGAAAGGGGCAATGCTAGTTATGACGTTGAATCCTCCGTTTATCTTAAAGTAAAAAATGTCACGTAACTAGTTTTCTTTCTTCGTCACTACTACTTTGCTAAGATAAAGGCAAATTCAATTTCATAATGACAACCAGTTGAATTTTCTTGAGACGACTAAAAAATGAAAACATATAAAGTCTAAAAGCGTGGCCAAATGCTCTACATGATTAGCTTGGGTGAACGTGGTAACTATTGATGCATAATCTCTCTCTGATTGACTCATTAAAAAAAAAGATTAATGCTAAATGGAATCTTCAATAAACTTAGAAAAATCAACAATCGATACACATGAAAAAGAAACCACAACTTTAGTCGCCGCAAAATCGTCTATCAGTTAACGCTAATACATATACTAGTCGCTACTAAAAGTATGCAGGCTTTTATCTTCGTTAATACCTATAACAATCGTCGCTAAAAGTTAGTATTAGCATCAAGTACAGTCGCCACAAATGGCTTTAAATCGCCGCTAAGTAGCTTATAGTAGCGACCTCTTTCGTCACTAATAGATCTACTTGTCGCCGCTAAAACAATAACAGCCATAATAATCGTCGCTAAAAGATACTATTGCAGCAATTAAAGTCGCCACAAATAACTTTAAAATCGCTGCCTAAAAGTGTCTTATTAGTAGCGACTTTTTATTTACTAGTAATAGATTTATGTTCGCCACTAAAGCTTTTATTAGTTGCGACCGCGGTTTCATATATTAATTGCTACCAAAAGTAAATATTACTCGAGGCTGTGTTGTCACGATATTTATAATGGTGGTCGCAACTTTTGTCGTCACTAGTGCTCTATTTATTGCCGCTAAAAGCACCAAATTTTAACGCCAGTAAAAGTGCTTATTAGTAGCGACTTTAGCTGCCGCGATTGCCTTTATTTGTCGCAATTATTCACCACTAAAAGTTAAGCTTGCTGCAATCTTAACTACCACAAATTTTTTTGGGTTTACACATTAGTATTATCCCATTATCAATATGTATAACATTTTTTCCTATGTATTATTAATTTTCAACAATATTTCATATTCACAAACACACTAATATTATGATCGATTCTTACAATATTTACAGATTTTCATTTTCTTTCTTATCAAGTGCATCTACAAATCATGCAGATTTTATTCTTATCAAACTATTTTGCATTTAGATAGTCATATATACCATCTTCATTACATTGATCAAAGAAATCAAAATCTTTCTTTAATCTTATATATATTAAATATAATAACTTCATGAAAATCCTCCTCCTATTTATTGAATCTGCATACCTTCAATAGGATTAAGTGACTCAACGTGAATTCATTGGCAATAAAAGGATAAAAATTATTTGTTGCTTAACTATAGTCATCTTTGTTTTCTTACGCATCATTCAGAAAATAGGATAGTATCGATCTAGCGATGAAAAGACTAAACTTTCATGTAGATGTATAACAATTCCACATGCAACAAAATAGGAGGTATTAGGTAATCCTTGAACTATTTATCTCACCATTTATACTTTAGCAGTGAAATAAATTATCTCATATACATAATGGGATACTTACTGAAAAGGCCGTTCTCAATTTTTTGTTCCATTAAATGTGTTGATTTATATCCAAATCAATGTTTTTCGTTTTGCTGTCTTTTTATTGGTCACACAAACAAATTTGCTAATTGCTACTCATCCCGTCTAGAATTATTTGTCATGTTGTGTTTATCGAAAGTCAATTAGAATAATTTTCAAAGGTAAATTGAATCACATCAATTAGATATTCTAAAACTATATGAAAAGTACTATAAATTACAATTTTTTGTATATTAATATGATGAAAAAACACATGTTAAAATGTTAGTCAATTTTTGTAGTATGAAAAATAGAAATCATGACGAACAATACCGGACGGAGAAAATAGTTTGAAACTATTTACGATAAAAAGAAAGAGTTGCTCAAGTGGCTAACACCTTCCTGGGAGCTTCCATTGCTCGGTGACTCGAACCGATAATGGTAGGATTTAGAGATATTAGCCACGTAAGCAATTCTTTCTCGTGGTCCATTCCATTTTAATTACTGTTTTAGCTCATAAAATTTGTTCCAAAATATTTTCATTTTAGAAATTCAAAATTAAAGTTAACAATTGTTTTCAACTATACCCTCAACTTTTAAAAAAGTACGCACAATATTTGACAAAAAAATCAATCTACCAAGCATAACCGAACGAAATCAACATTGTATTTTTGTTTACTTAAATAAGCGTTGAGAAAAAGTTAATACATCATATTTATTATTTTCTTAACAAGCATAAAAAAAGCTAAAGAGACAACTAAAATAGAACGGGTAAGTGTAAGCAGGTTTTCCTCATTTGACAGAAAGAACGATCACAAATAGTTGAAGACTTACTAAGAAGAGCAAAAACATGTCATTTAATTACATTCAACACCAACTTTCAGCTTTACCAACAAGAGTTCAAACTACTAGTTGCAGAGAAACCAACCAAGAGTTATTAATTTCAAACATACATGTACATTTAACACCACCAAATAAATGGAAGGCCACCAAAAACATTCACTACCAATGAGGATGATGAACACACGTTCTACGAATATGTTCTTGTCATTCGAGATGGTTCAGGTTCAACGAAGGACCATCCGGAGCAGTTCCTTTAGACAAGTTCATCTCTTCATCAGTTGCTCTCATTGTACTTGAGAAGGCCACCACATTCTTCATATTTCCAATTATATACTCGTACTGGTAAAATAAGATTATTATTATCTTGTAAAATACTAAAACAAGGCTTAACAAATGATGTGGAGTAGGCTTACTGCATCAACTTGTCCACTCCGGTAGCTCAAATCAATAGCTTGTTTATGGTTTAGCTCTGTCAAATCCTCAACCTAGAGTTGACATTATAGATTGTCCGTATCAGTGCTAACTAAAGCAGCTTACTGCTCAACAAATGGACTAATGAAGAAGAAGCAATACCTTTTTTTGCGAGTCAAAATACAGAGTTTTGTAGTTGCTATCTGTCTCTGGAACTTTACTTGCAAAGGGCCTTTTGCCTCTCTGTTCAGTAATCAAATAGACACAACAACTTCATAAGAGACAAGTACATATAACAATTGAGTCGCGTTGGATATTGTCCTAAGAAATTATTACGATAATATGAAACATATCGCCAAAACTAAACAAACTCTCTACAAGGTATAAAGATTTCAGCTTAGTCTAATAGATAATCTAAAAAAAAAATCCAATAAACTTTAGATTTAGGTTAAGAGTTTCGGGTTGGCCCAATTTATGCCCAGTCCTAATTAGTAACAAGATAAGTTATTCATGCTGGAGAGTGAAATAATAGTATAGTTATCTCAAAAATAAAACAATGAAAATACCTCTACGGTCTCTTAAACCTTTTTTCTACTTAATATAAGATGGGCGGCAATTTTATAAACACCCTCTATGAAATTTGATTTCCAAAGGCCTGAGCAATTTTTGGGATTTTTGGACTTCCGATCAAAAAAAATCATTCTTTTCATCTAAAATATATGTCGAAACACAATTTTTATACTTTCTATCGTCAAAGCGGAAGCAGGAGGGATAAAGTACTATTTAAATAAGCAAAAAAAATACTGAAGTGTATGTATGTAAAACAAAGCATAAAAAATCAAACAAGAGTTTGAAAATAAGATCGTATACAGAACCTTCGTATCGGCTGTTTTATTGGATGCTTTGATCTTCTTCGTCAATGTTGACTCATCAGCAATTTCTGGAACCACTGTTGTCTTCCTTGTAATTACTTCCGATCCGGCAACTTCAGGGTTCCTCTTATTTATTGCTTCAATGGCAACTATCGGATTCATCACATTTTTTGCTTTGGCTATCCTCTTGCTTGCGCGGATCGGGTCGATTGAAGCTTTTGGGTTTCTCCTCATTCCTGATCTCAACGTGAAGCAAAAATCACAGTAGAAACCCTTGATTTTCTTCTTTCAAAAAAAACTGTAACAGTATCACTTTTTTCCTTCTCAGAGACGACAAAAAATTGAAAGCAGAGTGAGCGTTTCACGAGACTGATAAAGCTGTTATGAAATTGGCCTTGATTCGTGCAGAGCAGGGGTTTAATCTCTGTCGTTCAATTCGATTCCATCATGCAACGTGTAAGGTGGAGATTTCTATGTTTCATCGCGTAATTGGAATTGTCTTATTTGGCGCCAAGACGAATGACTTTTCCTTTCTTAACATTTTTCTTATTATTATTTTTTTTAATTTTGCTCTTTCAATTTTAAAAAATACAGTATATTATAAATTAGATTGAATTGAACCTTTGATTAGTTTGTTTATATATTTCAAATTTTAATAATTGATAATCTTAATTAATTTAATAATTTATTTCTTAGAACTTTCTAGAGTATTGATGGTCACTCGATTAGTCGGTTGTAGTCTATGTTGTATAATTTCATGTTGAATGATTCTTTTTTGGTACTAATTTAGACATTTGAAAATTGAAATTATTAGTATTATATAAGTATTGATTGAATATAAGAAATCTAATTTTGAAATTTTGAATAGTTAAAAATTTGTGTTACTAAACTAGATATTCAATTTAACAAAAAAATTGAATAGAACTCATAATCCAAAAATCTAATGTTAATGAGACCAGCTTCCTTTGGAGTTTGAGGGAAGACAAAATTGGATCTATGTTGTGAAAGATTCAATTGATTGTCCCTAAAATTGCACAATACAATTAAAGTAAAACAATTTTAAATAATAAATTATTAAATATCCTTGATGTAGTTGTGTATTTAATTTCACTCACCGCGCAAGTCTTCTTTGATTAATTTGCTTGTTATTCTAACATTTGGTAGTTATTTAATCTCGGATATTTGAGTTTTATATATATATATATATATGATTTAAGTGATAAAAAAATTTTAAAAAATTTTTTAAAAAAATAATTATGATGTTGAAATCAATTTACACGTATCTTAATTTATTTCTTTTGTATCAAATATTTACTATTAATCTCATATTTTATATGATGAAAATTATATATATGATCACTAGAAGTTCTGAAAGAATAAATGGGAAGACCAAATTTTACCGTACTACTATACGAGTCAAATTAAGAACGTGCTCGTAATGACAATGGTACTGTTGAAGGACCATCTAATGACTACACTCTCTACGTTCTCGTTATTGTTTTTTTGTCACTTAGTCGTATTAAAGCTCAATTAAGTTTATATTTCTATCAAAGTTTTACGTGAATAATACTTAACAAAATAATTCAATGTTTAGGGTTTGAATCAGAAATCTCCCGTTAAAAATGAAAAATACCTATCAATATGTTAGTAACAAAGTCAGAGTTATCACTAAGAAAATTCAAAAAATAGACATACAAACAAAGTAAGAAAATTCAACATCTACTGTATATATAAAAACTAATTTTAATTTCATATATATAATATATTTTTTCAAGAAAATGAATCCGGTGTTCAAATAAACCCCAAATGCATTTTACCGCAATTCTAGGAAAATAGAAGTCATGATACACACATAAACATAAAATACATCTTCACCTACTTTGGTTTCATATATTTAATTATTATTTTGAGTTGTGAACTTGGTAAGAATCATAATTTTGACTTTATAAGGGTGATATATACTATATTGTTTTAATCTCACAAAATCAGACAAAAAACGCAGTGGATACGGTAACCCACTATTTATGTAAAGTTTGAATCACTATATGGTACAATTATGATAATACTACATTACCAAAATATTAAAAAAAAAAAATAGAAAGGACAGACGTAAAAGTAATCTTGAAATTTATATGAAATAATAAATAGATATATTTAAGATAAATTATAAAGGAAGAAGCCAGAGAAGACAATCATGAAATAAGGTTTATATCTATGTCTTTTTGTCACCTTAGAACATGACAGTGGGGGATATTACATGAATGATATGAATTTGTACATTTTAACTCATCCACCAAAAAAATCATCTTTAATATGATTTTTTTTTTAAAATAAAAAAATTGTTTAGTTATACATTCTAATCAGGTGAAAAAAAAGAAAAAAAATATATTTCTACTCACAAATTTCAACTGAAATACATAATACACAATTTCAAAATACTTTTAAATTACCTTTGCAACTTCCTACTTCAAAAACCCTTTCTTTTGGGATAAATATAGTCTACTTTAAATATACTTTTTGCTATATTTTTTTATAAAAGTATGTGTCTTCCTAATTATAAATACCCAATTTACGAAAAAAAAACTAAATCGTAACGATTGTTTACATCAAATCAATACAAAATGCATTGTTATGTGATTTAATGAAGTAAAATGAACGTTAAATTTAAACACATGACATACATATATTGACTTGATATAAAAACTCGATTCGAATAAATTTTACACCAATTCACTTGACAAACCCACCTCACCCATGACCTATCAATAGATCGAAGGAGGTGTTTGAACATAGATTTTTTTTTTTCCTTTTTTCAAAAATATTATTTTGTTATATATTCAAACAAGGTGGAAAAAAATCTACTCACTTTTTTTTTTCTACTTTTTAAAAGTGAAATATAGTTCAAATAAAATTCAACTTTAATTTTTCAAAATTTCAACTAAATCTATGTCCAAACGCATGCTTAAAACTCATAATTTTGGATATTTCTGTTATCATGATAACCAAACAAGACAAAATAGAGTCCAATTCTGCAGATATTTAAATAACTCAAAAAAAAAAAAATTAAGAAATCTTGAATCTATAACAAACGGTGATGAGTTGATCACTACCAATTGGTACAAACAAAATCATTTCTTGCTCTTTTTATGTTTCCCATTACGAAACAGAGACCCAAATCCAAATAAATTTTGTGATGCAACATTAAGAACTGGACTAATTCTAATACCATTACCATAATTACTCCCTGCTGCTCCATAATTCTTCCTTAATGGCGGTTTTTGAGCTGATGGAAATGTGTAAAAACTTGCTGGTGTTGATGAATTCTTGATTTGCTTTAATTGCAGAGTCCCCTGTTTCTTGGAATTTGGTACTGAACCAGTTGAATTGCTTCGTGACAATAAAGGTAATGACCAAAATGAACTACTTTTCTTGTGTGTATTAACACAATGAACACTACTGCTTCTTTTAATACTCCAAAAAGAATGACTCTTTTGTAGCTCTGTTTTGATTTCTTGTTTTGGGTTTTGATCATTTTGTGGAAGGGGTGGAAGAGATTGAGTTTTTTTGGATAAATTTTTTTGTTTTGAAGAGTTCACAAACTTTTCTTGAAGTTGAATTGGGCGAATTAAGCCATCTGAAAAGAGTTCATCTGCTGATGAAGTTTCTGTATTGCTGATACAGAAATCAAATTCAGAATTTGAATGAACAGGTTCTTGGATTTGTGTTTTGTGAAGAATATTAGTAAGATTTGAAGGTGAAAGATTGTGGGAAAAAGAGATTCTTGGACTTGTAGCTAAGCTTGGAGGCTCAGATATCATATCAATGGCCATTATTTTTTATTTTGTTTTGTTTTCTTTGGTTCAATTATTGAAAGAAGAGAGAAGGGGAAAAGAGAAAGAAGACAAAAATTCAAATGTGATGTGGGAATACTGACAGATGACAGAGGAGAAAATGAGATTTTTCAGAGAATGGTTGCAGAGTCTAAAGGAAAGAGAAGAAGAAGCTAAATAGATGGTTTGAATTTTTGGGGCACTTGTAGTTTGACATGGCTTTTCTGTCCAAAACAAATACTAAAATCTACTTGGATATTGGATAGGGTTGTTTATTATTTAATCTAGAAAAGAAAGAATAAATATATTTTTAAATTATCGTAAACGATTTGGAGATATTTTTTGTCATGCTTTTGGGATATTGGTGTTTCTTCGTTAGAAAACTAGATTATATATATCCTTTATACTAACGAACATACACGTGTCATAATTTTACCAGTTGATCCGACGGATAAAATTGCTCTAGAGTGAAGATTATGGGCCCGTTTGGATGAGCTTAATAAAAGCAGCTTTAAAAAAGTACTTTTGAAAGTGCTGAAACTTATTTTTAAAATAAGCAGTTATGCGTTTGGATAAAAGTGCTGAAGTTAAAAAAAAGTTGTTGATGTGTTTGGCAAATAAGTGCTGATAAACGGCTTTTTAAATCAAAATGTCTGAAATACCCTTAAAAGCTGTTAACATAATAAAAGTTAATTAATTTATATTTTACAGCCATAAATAATTATATTTTGCTATCATTCACATATTTCTTTATCACCACAAATTATTTATAAGAGGAATATAAATTTTTATTTAAGTTATATGTGCAACTTATTTGACATTTTAATAATATATAATTTGAATAGATCACTTGAAAGATTTAAGATTTATTTTATTTTCATTCATTTGTAATAGTAATTGTCTATCATCCACACGTGAAAAGGGAAAAATAGAAGAAAGAGATGTTAGAGTTATGTGGGTAATTTGGAGATTGTATAAAAATATTAAGGGCAAAAAGGTAAAAATGTGGTCAACTTAAAACAGCTTATAAGCTGGAAAAAAAAGCACCCCTACCCCGCCTTTTAACTTTTGGCTTAAAATAAGTTTTTTTTAACTTAAAATAAGCTGTTTTGAGTATTGCCAAACAGCTAAATAAGTTAAAAACCAGATTTTAAGTCAGCTTGACCAGCTTTTAAGCTGAGCCAAACAGGCTCTATATATGCTCTAGTTTTTCAACGGCAGGAGCACCAATGTTCCAAAAGTATGACTGAGGATATCTGCATATCAATTACGATAGTTCAGGGGTATATTTGTCCATTGTCCCTTTAAATAAAAATCTTGATTTTTGAGTTTTGGTTATTGATAGGAACACTCTTCTTCAAAATATAAATTAGTCAAAAATTCTAATACCAGTTAAGAGAGTATTGTTATAGATTTTTGAAATTTAAGTTATTGATAAATATTAGTACTTCCTTTAATAAACTCTACAGGGATGAAGAACATAATTAGTTTGTCACTGATTTATTTATTTTATCAGTATATTTAAG